ATAAACCAAAATTTATGAAGAATAGTAAAATCAAAAATAAAAATAAAATGAGGTTACCAATATTTGTCAAGAGATCATTGGATCCTTCCATAATCTTTTCAGAATTTTAAAATTAAGAAAAGTATTTTTAAACAATTAAAACAAGTTAAATGAAGTAAGAAATCATAAAAGATAACAAATCACAAAATAAAATTGTGAAAAAGTAAAAATGAGAAAGAGAAAAATCAAAAGTAATTTTGATAATTTTTTTACAATTTTAGAAGATGAAATAATTTTTTTATGAATTTTTGAAGTTTAAAACAATTAAAACAAAAATCATAAAATAAAATAATAAAATAAAAAATTTGGACCATTTGTTCATTGTCAAAACGCGTTAATAAGTAGATCTGATGGATCTGACGCGTTATGCATGATATGGTCATCCCTGAATTTCACATCGGATCATCAGTTTAAAAAAATAAAATATAATACAAGAAAAAATATGGAGCGTTGGATCTAAAGGTATTTTAAAACACGCTGGCAATCTGAACAAACCAAAGGTGTGGACACGCGGTGAGTCAGAGTCAATGCACGCGTTTAAAATACAAAATAGTCACGCCAATCAAATTAAAATAATTGGCCAAGGTTCATTCGTTGAAGATTGACTCGTAGGTCGTTTTCAACCTCCAACCACCTGCTGAAACAATCGGCCAAACATCGACTGATAATATATAAATGAAGTTATCATCAAACATTTTTTATCCCATAAAAAGGGAAAGGTGAACATCGAGAAAACCTAAAGGGGGTGAGATCACGGTCTTTCGACCAAGAGATCGGGTAAGGAAGTTTGTTACGCAAGGGGAAGGTTTTAGCATCCCTCGAGCCTATGGTACTCCATGGTATCCACTCTTGTTTTCTACTTCTAAAGGTGTGTTTAATCTATGTCTATGATTAAAAGAGAAAATGAAAAAGGAATGCATGAAAAAAGAAATGGATAGAAAAGAAAGAAGTATTTACAATTTGTGCTCGGTTAGACTCCACAACCTCTTGGCTACGTATCCCTTTCGAGGAATCAGAGCTTCGTAGTTCGGCTCACATATTTTGGTTTGTTTTGTATTTTTTAATGGAACAATATTAAGTTCACATTCTACCTGTAGCTCGACCTTTGGATACTCACGCATCTGGAGTAGAAAGGAATTAATATGCTCAAAAAATTGCTCGGAGGCGGATGATGCTATATTCGCGACTCTAGCAAGTAGACATGGTGCAACCCAACCTTTGATAAATTACATGTGATATTGCATAGGGGGGGGGGGGAAATAACATATCTATTTTGAAGTTTGAAAAGCCAAGAGGCGAGAAAAGAGTTTGAGTTTTAGTTTTAGTTTTAGTTTTAATGCACATGCCAAAGGGGAAGAATAAAAAAGTCTAAGGGAGACTTTCCTAGTTTCTAAGAATAATATTATCATACAATGATGGTCTTATGATTCAGATTGATAAAGAAGGGAAATTTCTACCTAATATTGTCATACATGGATATCAAGTCTAGTGTCTTTCTGGAACACATCATCTGAGGGTTTAACCAACCTAAGGTATTCTAAGAACAAACTCATCCAAGAATGAACCACCCTAGTTATTATTTGGAATACACTCATATCGAGATTAAACCAAAGGTCCTAAGGGAGCATGACATAAATGGTAAAATAAGATGCAATATGTACACTGGAATAAACGCATGAAAATAAACCGGGCAACATCCACTTGGACCGGACTCATATCAAGAATCAAACCAAAACCAAAACCTCTTAGGAACACCCCATGCGGAAGTGAATCAGGTGAATAAAATTTGAATATATCTTCTTTTTTTATGATTCTTTTGACCAAATTAAAAGTGCGAAATGTAAATGGGACTGTCGTAACTGGTTTTGAAACGAGAGTCGCCACCCTTAATTTTTATCCTAAGGAAGAGAATATAAAGGATAACCCTAAAAAGTTGGAGATTTTAGGTTTTTGGACTCGGTTCTAGATGAAGGGAAGGTGTTAGACACCCCTCATCTACCTTGTTCATAAGGATACTAGGTTTAGAATTAATCTTTAAGGAAATAGGGTTTTAATGTTTTATTAGGGGAACTCTCCACAATTTTAGTTGTATTCCTACATATCCTCTAATGAGGAATCAGAGTCCCAATTCGTAGTTCGTAGTTTGGTTGGTGTTTTTTATAGGATTATGTAGAATTGATTTTGAATTATCCTTGAACCTTATCTGGTTGAAAATTGTGTGAGTGTAGACGTAGTTCATAGTTAATTTTAAAATAATTCTCCTTAATCCTTTTTCGAAAATGATATTGGATTTTCATTATGTTAGTAGAAAATGATTTTATCGTTGGTTAGCTGTTTTCAATTCCGATTTGATTAAAAGGAGTGAATATATATAAAGTGGGGAGTCAGATAAAGTCTCCTCATCACGTGGCGAGATATCGACCACATGTTACTCATCATGAAGGCTGCGGAGGAAGCATTTAGTGAGTTGTGTGGATTTTAATGTTTTAATATTGAACAGTTAATTAATAAGGCGTTGAGACAATCAAAGAATATGGTGAATGTGCATCCACCAATCCTGTTATTTGTAATATGTTTGAATTAATTAAATTTGAAAAAAAAATGATTTCGTATAAAATTTGTTATTTTCCCTAATAGAGACAATTAATCTTAAATAATTATAAGGAAAAATACTCATTTTGTTTCCTTAACTATAGGTCATGGTTCACTTTGGTCCCTTATCTTTTTTTCGTGCCAAATTGGTCCCTTAATTTTCAAAGCAATGCAAACAAGTCCATGCCGTCTACTCAGTTAGTCAAACTCTGTTAAAAGTCTACGTGGCACATTTGACCAACTATTGTGACGGAGTTAGCATCGGAAAATCGACGCTAAAAACTATTTCTGGATTTTAACTAATGTTGTTCATCTCCTTCCCCAAAATTTTCTGGATTTTAATTTTCTTGAAATCCAAAATACACCCACTTCACAAAACAGTGTCAGCAATACACTTCACTTAAAAAAGATCATATGCAAGATTCAAAGCTTTTGTAAAACTCTCAAAACGAAGTAATATTAAAAAGTAGTTTTGTATATATTTTTTTTCATTTTCAAAGTTTTTTTCTATGTTCTGCATCTGCTCCAGATTTCCTTTCTATTTTCTCCAACCAAACCTCTTCCTTCATCTCACCAGAACAACATCCATCAAATACTTCATTCAATTCCGCTAATCTGCTACACCTCTCCACGTAACACTTTACTCTTCATTCATCAATCCATCATAACCGCTATCACAAGCTCTCTCAACTCCACGTGTTCTCCATCTACTAACACCAAACAACGTATCCCTAGATAAAACCACCAATTGCTACCTTCATAAACTCTTCACCATCACAAAACCGCCCAAGCTTCATCAACATCCACAACCCCCCCCCCCCCTTACTTCTCTTATGTTCGTGCAAACAACAATCATCGACCGTTAATCCATACCTTTCGCGAGCTTCTTCCCCTCATTCCAAATGCTTCTTCTGTCCGAAGCCAGGAACCAATACTCTCGTCTATGCTCAGTTCAATTAGCAACGATATAACACAGGATCCGTGAATCCACTGCCACAATGTTTCTGCGAGCTGCCACTTCTGTCCGCTTGCTATTATAAAAAACAACACAACTTGCTTTTGCGTACAACTCCAATTTCTGATTACTTTCAACATTTTCATGACCAAGCTTTGAAAATACGACAACGTAACAACCATTCGAATCACATCGATAAGGTTTGAATTGGAGTTGATAAACTTGTGCATATTGTTGATCTTAAGAAAGGAGAGGTTACCAAAGGTTTGTTTGAGTATGTACATGGTGGATAATGATGCAATTTAGTAAGAAATTATGGGTTTTTGTTGTTATCCCAAAATTTATGGGTCTTTGTAAGGAAAAAGGGTTAAACTTTGGTTATGGGTTTCATTCTGGGTTTAATTTGGGGAAGGAGATGAACAACATTAATTAAAATCCAGAAATAGTTTTTAGCGTCCATTTTTTCGACGCTAACTCCGTCACAATAGTTGATCAAATGTGCCACGTAGGCTTTTAACAGAGTTTGACTAACAGAGTTGACGGAAGGGACTTGTTTGCATCGTTTTGAAAATTAAGGGACCAATTTGGTACGAAAAAAAGTTAAGGGACCAAAGTGAACCATGACCTATAATTGAGGAACCAAAATGAGGATTTTTCCTAATTATAATTATTTACAAGAAGATATTCTTATTGTTTTTTAACCTAAATAAATCAAAGAACTAAATTAGGAAACCTAATTTAAAACTTAACCTAAACTCTAATTTTAGACTAAATTAAATGAATATCCAATAACATTATAAAAGGAAAATTCTAAATAGAAATAAAATAAACTTAAAGAAAATATTAAAAGCATAAAAAGGGACTTGTCTCTCTTGCACGTTCCAACAACAATTCAAAAAATTTCATTCAATTTGTTTTTCTTTACATATCTATATATTTATTAACTAACCTAAAAATAAGGTGATATATGATCTTTTATTGCTTTTTATTTTTTAGTTAGAATAAACTAAATTACATTCTCATATAAGGATAAACTAATCAAACTGTTTATTTATATTATAAACTAAAAAAGAAATTAACAATTAATTTAGCAAAAGGGTGTATTGTAAAATTCTGGAAGGTGTGAATAAAATTATTAAGTCCAATCTAAAACAAACTTTAGTTATAGTAAATATTAAATAATAAAAACTAAAACTAAAGGAGGTAAAACTACAATAAGATGAGAAGAAATTTATAGTAAAAGATGGACGGTGATATACTGTACATAGGAGAAGCTCTTTCTGACTTATTCAACTTAGAAATAGCTACCAACACAAAACACACCCATGGAAAGACCAATTTGATTAAAAATAAAACAAAGGATGAAATACCTTATGTCCAATTAACGCATAAGCTTTCTCATTCTATCCTCCCCTCATCTCCTTCTTATTTGCTGAAGCTCTTCCTTTGTCCCTTTTCGGCGGATTAAAGGGGTGGTGGTGATTTTGTGTCGTGCTTGAGTTGGGTTGGAGTGGTCGGTGAGGATTTGATGAAGGGAGTTGCCGGTGGCGGCCTCTGTGCGTGCGACTTGGGACGTCGCCAGTTGTCCGGAATCGCGATATAAGTCTGAGATGTTGCAGATTTGTGTACAGGGGTTGTTATCGTCATGGTTTGGCGGAGCTTCCAACTTTTCTTGTGCTTCTTCTTTGTTTAAACAACCTGTAAACAAGATCTAAAACAATAACCAAAGTGACAAATGAGAAGAATTACACAAGCCGTCAATTAACAATAGCGACAGAGTTCTACTTCTTATTTCTATTTCTCTCCTCTAGATATTTTTTTTTTGTGTTGTGTTTAAATCACCATCTTGTTGCTTTCGATAATGATAACTAGGTTGTTTGTGTTAGAATATTTTGAATTGATGATGAACATAATGAATTTTTTGTAATGATTTGGAATTTGGTTGTTAACTTTGAGTAATGTTAGTAATAAGTTATCTGGTGAGTTGTTTGATTTTACAGGTTGTTCAATTTGTCAATTTCTAATAAAATTGCTAGTAAGAATTTATAGGTTGAAAGTAATGTTATGAACAAGGTTTGTGGAGTGAGAATCAATGTTAAAAAATACTCGACCGTAAAAGATAATGTTTAGAAGTTTGAAAATTTTATTTCCGGATGTGTACTAAAAAGGGGTTAGAATGTGTAAAGAATATAATATCATTTAAAAGAAAAAAGTTTATAAAACATTAGATTTAAAACACATACTGATCGTTAAAGACATAAATCAAATTGAAGAACATGCATATAACCATAATAAAAAGAAATAGCTAATAGTTACAAAGTATATATTGATATATAATTCTCAAAAGTAATAACCATAATAAAAAGAAATAGCGGTTAGTTACAAAGTATATATTGATATAAAAAAATATAATTCTTAAAAGCAAATAACCACCAGAGTCATCATTTGGTTATAACAATGAACCAATTAAAAAATGAAATTGAAAAGGATGGGTGGCCTCAAATGTAATCATTGTCCAAGGATAAAGAAATTGTTGTTGTTGTCTGATATAGACAACAACCCTAGAATAAACTAAGAACAGAATTATAAGAAAAAGAAAGAAGCAAGTTTTTGTGGATGATTCTGTGTGGAAATTGTGAATGATTGTTGATGGCAATCTTAGGACAACAATAGTCCTATTTATAGAGTGAATTAGGTTAACAAAACCTTAGAGACTAAGTTATCCAAAAGCCCAAAAGAAAGCCTAAAGGTTGATTTCCAAAAAAGGAAATAAAATTAGTGACAAAATATAGAAAAAAGAAAATATTGAAAGTATGACACAAGAGATTTGAACGCGTGACCTTATGCTTGTAAGCTTCATTCTTTACTAATTGTGCTATGTTACTAATTTGTAAACAAACTCAATTTGAAAGTATATGAAAGGTGTGCAGATATTTAATATTTTAAAAAATAGAAATAATTTGGAATAAATCATTATATTATTAAATAGGTTTGGAAGCGAATATTTATAAAAATAAAATAATAATACAAAAATAATTTTTAAAATATTTTTGAATGAACTTGAGAATGAACATCTATAAAAATCAAATAATATTATAAAAATAATATTTAAAATATTTTGACTGTAGAAATTAAAGGACGGGCAAATTTGGGGTATGACAGTTTCCCCTATTTAATCACTCTTCAATTGAATGGTGTAAGAATACGCATGTCTCACACGTTCGAATCAGAAGGTTATTAAATAATAGAATGCCCCAAAATTTGGACCAAAACATTATTAAATTAGGATACATTAATATAGCATACCTTAGAGCTCAAAGAAATAGGCAAGGACGATGATGTATCACCTTATCGGAGTTTGAATAAAGAAATAGGCAGAGATGATGATGCATCATCCTACCAGAGTTTGAATAGAGAGATATGATTGAAGAGTAAGTATAGATGATGATGTATCATCTTACCAGTGTTTGAAACAAATTTTTGATTTAACTCGGACACGACGACGCAGATAACTCGTCAATATCTAAGAGAGATTGTAGATTTTTTATGTATATTTACAAAAATATAAGTTTTGAAAAAGTTGACTTACTAATGCTTGGAGACTAATATAGTAAGTTTGATTTGATTTGATTTTGTATATTCATCGCAATCTAGGGGATAAATAAAACAAAGTCTGATAGCACATTGCTGCCTGGAGACTGATACAATGGATCACGCAAATTTATTCCATATCTATCATAACCTAGGGGATAGATATTTAAAAAGAGATTGATAACTACATCGTCGCATGGAGACTGAGGCGATGAGTTATATTGTAGATTTCACACATTGCTGCATGGAGCCTGACACAATGAGCTACATTGGAGAAAAAGCTTGATAATAATATTGTTGCATGGAGGCTGATGCAATGGGCTATATCGCAGAAAAGGTTGATAATAACATTGTTGTATGGTGACTGATGCAATGGGATATATCGTGGAAAAAAGATTTAACGTTGTTGCATGGAGACGGATGCAATGGTTTATATCGCAGAAAAAGCTTGATAGTAACATTTCTGCATAGAGACTGATGCAATGGTTTATATCGTGGAAAAAGCATGATAATAACATTGATGCATGGATACTGATGCAATGGACTATATTGTGAATTTTACACATTGCTCCATGGAGACTGACACAATGAGCTAAATTGTAGATTTTGTACATTATTGAATGGAGCCTGACGCAGTGAATTATATCGTAGAGGAAGGAATACACTTCCGCATGATGACTGATGTAATGGATTAAATTGCAAATTCCATACATTGTTGCATGAAGCCTGAGACAATAAGCTAAATTGTAGATTTCGCACATTGTTGCATGGAGCGTGATGCAATGAGATATATCGCGAAGAGGGAAAAAAATATTGCTGCATGAAGCCTGACACAATGAGCTATATCACGAAGAAGGAAACACGTTGCTGGGTGGAGACTGACGCAATTAGTTGAATTATATATTTTTCACATTGTTGCATGGAGCCTGACGCAATGAAATATATCGCAGAGGAGGAAACACATTTCAGCATAGAGACTGACGCAATGAGTTAAAGATTTTTTAGTATACCTACCATAACCTAGAGGATAGATAATATGAGCTTGAGACCAGATACTTGGAACTTGTAAAGACGATGTCGGTTGTGTCATCCCTCAATGAAGACTCGATAACCAAATGAAATATGCCAGATTTGAAGCGATGGAACCCAAAATTCACTAATGACATCGGTTGTGTCAGCCCTTAACCAAGACTATCAACATGAAGAAATAACCCCCAAAATTCACTGATGATGTCAGTTGTGTCGTCCTTAACCATGGCTATCAATTGGAAGAAGTAAACCCCAATAACTCATTGATGATGTCGCTTGTTTCGTCCTCAACCATGACTATCAACATGAAGAAATAAAACCCCAAATTCACGATGATGTTGGTTGTGTCGTCCTCAACCATGACTATCAACATGAAGAAAAAAACCCTAAAATTTTCTAATGAAGCTGGTTGTGTCTGTTCTCAACCGAGGTTTGACCAACATGATAACCAAATGAAATTGAATGTTTTGAGAGGTTCGAACTTGGAAAGTTTGAACTTGATAATTGCAAGTGTAATTCCCGGAGGCTGGTGATGACTAGGCCTTGGATATGAATCATAGGTAAGCTTCCTAGTGAAATTTTGATAGCGGTACCTTTGACGGTTGTGTCTGTTCTTAACTGAGGTAGGTATAGTGACAGTAAAATGAATAGATAGTGTTAAGCTTGGATTTAAATTGAAGTTCATTTTAGCTGGTAATCATGCCTTGAGATTTTGATATGGCTATGTGTATGTCATGCTTGATGTGAGGCACTTAGTGGGAAATCTACTATCGATATTTCCAAGGAATCTACTGTCGAGATTTGATGTAGAACTATTTTCTGCCAAGGTCTTCTGGATAATCAACTGTCGTGATTAACCAGGAGAATCTACTACCAAGCTTATGTTGGAAATTACCTTCTACCGAGGTCTGCTGGATAATCAATTGCTGTGATTAACCAGGGGAATCTACTATCAAGATTTTGTTTGTGAATTACCTTTTGCCGAGGTTTCTCGGATAATCAACTATTGTGATCAACCAGGAGAATCTACTGCCGAGATTTGATTGTGAGCTGCCTCCTACTGAGGTTTTATAGAAAATCAATTGTCGTGATCAACTAGGAGAATTTACTACCGAGATTCAATTGTGAGATACCTTTTGTCGAGGTCTTCCAAATAATCATCTGTCATAATCAACTAGGGGAATCTACTGCCGAGATTCAATTGTGATACCTTCTATCGAGGTCTTCTGGATAATCAACTATCGTGATCAACCATGGGAATCTACTATTGAGATTCTGTTGAAATACCTTCTGCCGAGGTCTTCCGGATAATCTACTGTCGTGATTAGCCAGGGGAATCTTCTGCTGAGATTCGATTGAGAAATACCTTCTGCCAAGGTATTCTGGATAATCAACTTCCGTGATCAACCAGGGGAATTCACTATCGAGATTCAATGTAGAATTGATAATTTTATCGACAATGATGATTGTCTTTACATAAAAATGAGGTTTTATGCTATGCATGCAAATATTATTGATACATGAAATATGATGATTGACTAATGCATGAAATGTGATGATTGATTTATGTATCTGATGGATAACTTGGATATGTGTAAATGGATGTTAGATTTTGAAATGTGAATGTGTAATTAGGCTTTCTAGGATATGCTCGACCCATGCTGTCGGACTCCGTCAGATGGATGAGATGAGAAGTATAGATTGGTTTTGGATCGAGGAACCCTAATGCATTATTTATGCAGCTTTATGCTTTATGATTATAACTTGAATACTCTTTTTTTAATGGTGCCCTGTGATGGGTCATGGATGATTAAAGCGTGGAGGTTTGCATATGCGACAAGGTTGCTTGTCACATGGTAGTTGAATGTTGTGCTATCATGATTTCCCGATACTCGATTTAAACTTGTAGAATGCTGATGTGGAAGAAAGACCCATTGGAGGTTGTGAAAGTACACAGAGAGCTTTCCCCTGTGTGGACTGTTTTTACCTAATTTGTTGGTAGGGTCTTAGAGGAGATTCTCATTGATATAAGCTTGGAAATAGTTTGATCATAATACGAATAACCCCACTATTTTGTACTATGCCCCTGATTAAAAAACTCTTGAAAATGCTCGGCTTTGAAGAACTATTTTGAATCAACTCCTTTTGCTCGAGCCTCGCAGTAGTTTCCCTAATATTCGAATTTTAAAAGACATGCCCCTCAATCTCCAAGGTATGGAGGGAGC